CTTTTTTTTTTTTTTTTTTTTTTTTTTTTTTTTGATTTGCCGCGTTTGATTTACTACTGATCTACTTTCGAACTGCTTTTAATCTGTTCTTAGCTTATTTTTGGTCGACTTCTGATCTTCCTTTGATCTGATTTCAATATGCTGCTGACCCACTCTTGACCTACTTCAGATCAGCTTTTCATTTGTTTTTGAACTGAATTTGATCTGTTTTTTATTGCATGACTTGATCAGATGTGGATCGAAAACAGATCAAGTGTATGTGAAACATAAGTCAAAAAAAACAGATAAAAAGTGGATCAAATTTTTTTGGTCTTTAATGGGTCAGAAGTAGATCAAACGTGAACGACTGTTGGGTCAGAAGGATTTCAAAACTGGATCAAATTTGCGCCGTGATTCATGTTAATTTAACCAAATTTTAGGAACTCGCACCAAGGACATCTGTCCGACTCGGTGGAAAATTTGTTAGAGGCAGCAGTTGAGCCGGTGAAGGGAACCGTAGCCGATCAACTGGATCGGTTGTCAGCCGCATTTGATGCCATCCAGAAATACTTGGAAGTCTGTTTTGTCTAACTAAACAACAAAATTTATTAAAAGCAGCAGTTAAGCAGGTGAAGGAAACTGTAGCCGATCAGCTGGATCGGTTGTCAGCCGCATTTGATGCGATCTAGAAATACTTGGAAGCAATCAGAAATGTTCGTAGTCCGAAACTGGGCATTTCTACGGGGAAGCAGAATATGCCTGGGTCGGGCTTGCTTGAGCAATACCTGAGAAGTGCAACTCGGAAGATGGCCTAGGTTGTAGTTAAAGCGCGTTAGAAGTAAAGAAAAGATTATTTTTGTTTTGCAATTCGCTGTATCGCCTGCCTAGTTTCAGGTGTCGTCGGCGTCACTGCCGCCGTCGCCTTCGGGGTCGAGTCCAACAGCATCAGTGAAGGCACTGTCGACCTCTCCGAGTCGACGACCCGTCAGCGCTTACCAGAGCAAGCTTGCAGCAGCCAAGCGAAATCCATCCGGTGGTGCTCGTACAGCGCACTCATAAATTGCTGTGTGCGCTGCATTGTGACTGGTGCGGTCCTCGTCAAGATGATTCGTCCTGTTCGGCGTTTTGTTGTAAATTCAGTAATAATGGCCTTTTCATGTTTTTCGCTGATAAAAGAATTCTGCTAAAATTTTGCTGCTAGCCACTCATCTTTGAGCTGTTTTGAACTTTTTGCAAATTTTATGCTCCTGATTGAGACTCGAGTCAATGATACGGTGAACGGTATTCTGCTGTGTCGACCTCCTACAGTGTGCGCGCCGTCCGTCCAGCGATCTTTCGCTACCAAATTTTGCGATGGAAAACTCGTGTAACTTCTGTTATCTGGCGTAGGTCACTAGAGAATTCTCAAGTTAATAGTCAGGGCTCGTTCGGTCGGTTTGTCAGTACTTTATTAAAAAATGAACGAATGGCAACAGTTCCAACGAAGACATATGTCTTTTTGATGACAGTTTTTGCCTCGGACTTCCTTTTGATCAACTGCATTTTTGAACTGAAAGAATCTTGGTTCAAAGTGGCAGGTCGTTTACCTTCCTCCCCCTTATTTTGCCTTCTTGTAAAAACATATAAGATATTCCCTGTGGGCATTTGTTGTTGTCCAGTACGGTGCAGTCTTACGTTTTCTTTGCTGCCCAGAAGTGTTTGCTAGGGCCACCATTTTTGTTGCTTGCTTGCTAATCGGTTGTTCATAAATTGTGTTAACGTGCGGTGTTGTCTCAAAGCAGCATCAGTGACGGTGGTAGTTAAATTTGCGCGAAATCAGTGCTTACGCTCGTAGGAAGGAATAATTACCTGGCGTGAAGCGGATGTTGTTTAGTGCCTCTATAATCCATTCATCTTTTCTTAAAAAAAAAAGACGAAGAAGGAACTTGTACTTGTGAAAATGTGGACTTTGGCATTCCCTGACACTACCTAGGTCTGTATTAAATTCTAAAATACTTCGTATCTTTAGTTAAATCAGGCATGGGCAACTTCTGGCGACACGCGGACCTGGTTTACTTAAACCCACGAGCCACCGCTTAATAAAATGTAGGTGGCAATACATCAGGTTTGCTTATACGATCATGCATTTTTACGCTAAACGTTTCGCAGATAGATCAGTAACAGTATGAACCGTCATGCTGTTATTAATTTACCTGTGTCAAGGTACTGATTAAGGACGTCGGCTGGGACGGTACTGTTGCATCAGGGCTCCCTCCACTGCTGCGCTGAAAGTGGAAGACAGAGTTCACTCATTTCTGAACACACATACATAGAGATGCTCTCAACATTATAAGTTTTTGCAGTCGCATAAGATGCAAAAACGCATAAAAACAGATGAGTTTGTACTGGACTGTTCATCTAATAAAAAGAAATAAACGGCAGCAAAATGAGTTTTGGGCTTGAACTTCTGATACAAAATCGTTGAAACCTGAACTTATAACATTGATACAGAGTCTCAAAGTTTTTCCAGATTGTCGTCATTTAGCCTGGTGCGTGTTTTAGTTTTATTATACATTTTGTGCTGAGCAACAGCTGTACAAGATGCATGTTATTACGGGGTCGTCTGCGTATGTGTATGTTGCACCTTATCCGCAATTTTCAGCTCGGGAATCAAAGACTAAGAAGCTGAAAATTCATGGGAGTATCCCCCGCCCAAATTTAATTCTAGCCTTTCCCTGGGTACTGCGTATGACCCAGTGAAAGCCCTTGGGGAGGGGGAAATATTACCTCGGGGGCCATGGAAGCAAGGAGGTTGAAGTTTTAGGGCAATGGCCCCTGCCCTCTCGCGCACTCGGATATCACTATGGCTCCGCGGAAGTTTTGGTGGAGAAATTACCTCGGGATCCATGAAGGTAGGAAACTGAATCCTTATGGTAACGACTCCTGTCTGCGCACAACCTTGCAAATTTGAAATCAGCCTTCTCACACACCCCGAAATCAAGGATGATCCCGTGAAAATTTTGACAGGGGAATTATAATCTCCAGAATCATAAAAGCCCAAACGGGGAGGGGGAGGCTGAAAATCTCAGAAGGATGTTTTCTGCTTGTACGGGGCCCTCACAAACTCAAATTTAGTGCCCAAGTATAGCGAGGTCTCACGCATGACCAAGCAAGGCATTGACGCAAAAACACCCGCAAGCTGTAAAATTAGGAAGTGGAAGGTTTGGAAAGACATTCACTGTCCAGAGTTTCAAATTCAGCTTCCACGTACTGGTATGTGGAATTTCAGTGAAAAGTTTTGCAACTTAGGGTCAAGGCAACATTTCAACTATTTTTGCTCAAACACAAAGTGCAAAGCAGTGAAAATCCTTTGCAGGCAAACGTTCGCAGGATGGGACTGCGCAAAAGCACAATCATATTAGCTGCCTTATTGCATGCCGCTATTTATTTTCATTAGAGTGTTGTGGTGTAGCGGAGTACAAGCCCTCGTTCATCTAGTTAGGCATTACATTCCGATTCCTTCCGCGAATCGGATTAAAACTAGCTACGGACCGGATCCGGGCCGCTGGTCCCCCATTTGTGAGTTAAATCACTGGCAATGCGCACCAGGCGAACCCATGGGCACTAGTATTTTGTGCTATAGTAAGATCGTCTGGAATTCCAGTAGCTAGAATTTGTGGCATACTGGTCCTCAAAGTTCAGAAAGTTAATTGTGCAACCACGTGTTACTTGACAGTGACATCGCCTCAATATTTCAGCCTCCCAGCCTTTTTGGTACTCGAGTTAGCGAACTTACTCGCCAAAAATTTTTACGGAGCCGCACCTGGGAACCGTGCGCACCTGGAGACTGAGTTTGAAATTTTTGAGTTCTGTTTGGACGGGGAGCATAACCTCAAAATTTCAGTCCTTTAGTTTTTCTGGTCCCCGAGTAGGCGATATTCTCAACAAAACTTCCACGCGCTCGTACGCGGAGCCCACGGTGTGTGAGGGTTGATGTCGCGATGCGCCGGAGCTCGCTTGGTTGTCGAGTTGAAATACCCGGACGGACGCGCACACACACACCGGGGTCGTCACAATAGGTGTTTTTGCAAAAGCATATGTGCAAAAACGCATAAAAAGAGTGTTTTGTAAGTCATGCTGTGAACTATTTTTGGCAGTTATTGAAGTTCGGCTTAACCGGGTTAGGAAGCGAGTGCGATGACTGTGCTATGCCCCT